ATGTGCAAAATTGTAAACATTGCTTTAAATGCTTAATTTTGTAAAAAATTCCGTACACTGTTAACCTTCAAACCGTACGTTAGTGCGAATTCACACCACGAAAATTTTCAATTTGCTGACAATTGCGCATGAACAGTTGCCGCGGCTTATCCTCACTACGTGTTAAATATGCATTTTCATTAAATTTGAGTGATACCATTGGATTTGTGAGAAAATTACACCTCAATAAAAGAGTGGTTTTAAAGAAATTTCTGTTTTGATCCTCAAGAGAGACTTGCAATTAAAAATGTCAAATTCCAATTCGTACCTATGTATCATTAATAAGTGTTCAAGGGAGGTTTGAAGGTTAATACTCACGAAAATGAACCATTACATTTTATTCATCAGAATCACCTCGTAATTACTTAATCATTTAAATTTTACTTTATAAATCGATTAAAACATTGGCCGTATTATCGCCTTCTATACAAAATTAGTAGAGTATGTTTATACTTTTGCTCGTCACTGTATATTTATATGTATATTTATATATATAATATTATGTAGTACAAAAATTACAAAATTTACATATTATTATAGGTATATTATATCCATGTATTTAACTAAATAAAATATTTTTACTCATCTGGAAAATTTTACACTGTACATCGAAGATGAAGTCTTTGAAACAATTGCAATACGCGATACAATAAAGAGTTGCATCAGTGTTTCACCTAAGTGTTTCTTCGAGGAGTTTCCGTGAGTTGTATCTTGACGATCGCGCTTCATCCGCGTCATCTGCTCGCGCGGGAAATTGCACTCGCCCAAGATGAAGGAAAACTTCGAACTAAAGTAAACTACGGACAAAGAAATAATCGGAACTAGATGGATCTATAGATTTTGTGGGATGTTGAATAACTCATTTTGTTAAGCCCTTAACATTTTTAAACTTGCTGTGATATAGGTATTTAACGCAGTATCATTATAATGCTAATCATAATTTTATATGTCTTTATACTTTTATCTCAAGCAATAACCGATTAGTTTTAAGAAAAAAGTATTTTGAAAAAGTCACTGATTGTATGCTTGGTATATCTTTCTTTGGACGAGCTGAAAGTATATGGACGTGTGCAATCACTATAATGGATTTCGCAGTGTGTGCGCGTGTGTTACGCTTGTTCATCTTAACATCCGCGTCGCTGTATCGTGGGTGGACGAGATAAAGCCTAATCAAGAAGATGCTGTCTTATCCATGTCGCAAACTGAGACATATTACACGGCGACGACGATACGTGCATCGCATAATGCCAATCACGCGAATCACACTATCCATAACTTTTCGCGACAACTTTCTCTATTTTCTAAGCTTAATTGTCACAAATATTATTTTATTAAATTTTCAATGATTTTCTTTTAATGGATTATATCCATTCATTCTGTTGTTAAAATCAAATCGAGCCCATTCAAATAAATCAATTATAGCCATGTAATACTTATAGGTACTTACATCCGAGGACACGTTCTTTTAGTAGATAACATGGACTGAGAAAAAAAATTCTTTGTCAATTGCGAGTGACGATCTGTACCTATATTTATATATAGACGTACAGGATTTCCGGCATATACTTTTGTATTCAAGGTTGACAGTTTTTGTTAATACTTAACCATTTAGTGAAGAACCTCATTGGACGACATACATATAACAATTCTTATAAGTTTTACTCACTAAGGATGATTAAGTGTAAACCGCGAAATCTTTGGAATCTTATTTAAATTAGAAATTTATTATATTAGATAATATATAATGTAATATTGCACTGACATTATGCCTAGCTCATTTTCCCAAATTCGTTACTTTTTAAATTTTAATTCTATGAGCCTTTAAATATACTTTGTACAATTTATTGAATTTTATCTTATATACATATATATGTATATATGTACATATTCATAAATTTTAATAACTCTTATATTGTTTGTAATTTTTTACCTCCGCTTAGACATCAGCTTTACACCAATTAAATAATGACTATTATAAAAATGTCAATCAAAAACTTATTTAGTAAGGTAACCAAGCCCAATGAAAGCTCTTTAAGTTTTGAATTATACTGACATTGTGCCTAGTTCATTTTCCTAAATTCGTTACTTTTTAAATTTTTTTGACAAGTTTTTGAGAATTTTTTTAATTTTTTGCTGAGGTCACAAAATTAAAAATTAATGGTCACGTTCGAAAGAGGAAACATTGGAAAAAAATCAGTGCTATAAGTTACAATTCTATATCTCGAACGATTCAGAAATTATTTAGGTGAATCGGAACTTTTGGCAGACACACTGAACATATATGTACGTATACTATATAATCAAAACACAATAATTTTAATTATATATGTATATATATATATAAGCAAAAATATTATTATGATAAGTGCATTAGAATAATAATTTATATATAACATGATATTATAATATTACTATTAATAAAATACTAAAATTGAAAACAGATTCTCATTTAAAAAATAAACTACATATATAAATATAGAACATCAATTTTAAAAAAATATAATAATTACATTTTTTGTATACATATACAGGTGTGTATTTATTACAGCCTGAGGGGAATAAATGCTTTCTAGCTCTCTCTTTCTGTTTTCCTTTACTTACGCTAGAAAAATAAAATTGCCTGTGTTACTTTTTTCGTGTTTTTCTTTAATAAATATACTATTCAAAATCATTAGTACAACATTTGATTGTATCATAGATACATATATATATAGAAAAATTGTTAATATAACCAGCAAAAGAGTAACTCTTTATAAAAGATAAATAAAAAGTATATGAAATAACTTTTTTTATGCGTATATTTAAATTGATAATATCTAAAAAGATTAATTTAAAAATTAAGGAGTTACTATACCCTTTTCAAGTTTATAACTTCAAAGGACTTATACATTGAATTGTATATATTATGTATTGTAAACGCGTGTTGTCATAGTTAGGAAAAGATGCATTCGAGAATCAGGATTTCGGCCAGCTGGAACTATTCTCGATGTCGGATCTATTTTCAAAGATGCCTGCTATACGTCCTACGCTTATCACAAATCTTCATGTCCGCGAACTCGAAATATTTTTTTTCTGTTTTACTTAAATTTTTTCATAAATTGATAAATAATGAGTTTAAAAGAGAACAGTCACATTTTTGTACAAATTTAATTCAAACAGTTTCTAAAGCAAAAAGAGAGAATTTATTTTAAACGAAATTATTAACTATAAACAAATACAATAACCTTTTCTAATAATATCATTCGATAAAGTTTAGTTTATTTTTTAAATAAAAATTAGTAATCCTATAAATGATTATCCAGTAAACACCAACTCTCTCTAAAAGTAACATAACACAAATGTTTGATTTCACAATGTCAACAATGTAAATATAATAGAATGTATGTGTTACATAATAGTCACATTGTTGAATGTGAAATTATAACATTGATGTTACGTTACTTTTAGTTAGTGTTTACTAGGTAGTATAAAGAATGATAATTAATAAGTTTAAATTATTTATTGCAACATACATAGTATGTCTTTATACATAAAAGTATATGATAATTAAGAGAGAGAGAGAGAGAGAGAGAGAGAGAGAGTATTAAGAGTTTTATAAATATGTAGAAATTCGATATAAGATAAAATATGTCATTATTAAGATTCTCTAAATCTCATATATAAACCGGTTATCTATAAAATATATTAAATGATAAAAACAATCATGATTCAAACTCATTACCAGCATCTTGGATTAATTAAGTGTATATTTGTCTATAATTTCAATAAGCGTGAGTTTTCATACATCGTTTTCCTCTTTCTGTAAGAGATGCGGTTTGTTCTCAATTATTAATTCTGAAATTATACAATCGTGAAATAACTGAATAAACGGCCAACATATTATTAGACACTCCACCACCTAGCACGATCTAATTAAAAATTTAGACAAGAAAGACGACACTTTAAAGATTTTAATTTAAAAATGCCACTTATAGTCCTAAACACGATAAGTATCAATATATACCTGTAATTGATACTTAATTATCGATTAAAGTGCAATAAAGTCGTATATAATATATATATATATTTTTTTTTTAATGTGTGGATCTACAAACCATTATAAAAATATCTATATTTATAATATAATAATATATTATAACATTATAATATGTAATCTAATTTAAAAATATTCTTCTCTTTATTTGAATTTAATATCCTAATTATTTAATATAATGTACATATATTTATAATATAAAAAATGTGTATAATAACAGATATTTTAGTACCATGCGTTAAAATATTCAATATTAGAATTTAAAAAAAAAATAAGTACGTTATACATTTTGACATATGCTAGAATGCAATTAACCGCTTCCTACGTTATTATTTCCACGGACGAACTTCAGAACAAGTTTTTTTATCGTTGTTCGTCGTCCGGCAAATTGACGTTATTACGCGGTTTATCGCGGCAGACCGCAATTGTCGAAACAAACACAGTTTGCAATTTCGCAATGTAACGCGAATTTTCTATTTCAATTTAGGCAGCATTCAATTTATTCTGTTTACTTATAATGCCGTTACAACATTTCACAATTATAATGTTATAATCGCATTAATATACATATATATAAAGTTCTGTATACTATTAGCTATATTATTGGGTTCTATATTTATTATTAGTTATTAAGTTCTATATTAATAACAACTGAACATTCAATTTATTAATATATATTAATTTTAATTTTTCATTTTGCTTTTTTAAAAATTCATTAGGTCAATGTTATTATAAAGCTCATAGTTCCATATTCTTTCATGATTTTTACTTACATAAAATAATATGTTATATTTATTGAATTTCAAGAATATATCGTATTTTTATTCAAATAAAAGAAATTATATATATATATATAGCTATTTGTATAAATAATTGTCTTTGTTCTAAAATATTCTTAGTGCCAGCCATCTAAAATATACGCGTTCAAAGAGAAAAATGCTAAGATGAGAAGATCTAATTACTTTTGCAGAAACAAAGAGAGAGAGAAAGACAAAGAGAGAGAGAGAGGAAGAATATTAAAAAAAAACTCATTGCATAATTAAAATATGAATAAACAGATATAACTTTGCGTAAGACGCATATTGTTCATGAATTATTTAGTGGTAGTTAATACATCATTTTCTTCGCGAATTAATGATGCACTATATATTCCAATAATAAAAAAATAAAACTCGTATTTTTTAAAAATATTTATTTTTATTAACTTTATAACCGATGAAATAAACATTTCTTCGAATGTTAAATGCAATAACCATTTCTGTATTTATAATAAAGTTTGCGAAAACAAATTAAATCGATCAGTTTATGATGGACATTTTATATAACAAAATACTTAATTTTTAATTTAATTTAAAAATAAAGTCAATAATTTAAACAAAAACTTAATCTGCGATCAATATGTTAAATTTTATTAATAATTATAATTTAATTTATTTCAAGATCTATTTATGTATATATATATATAATTTAACCTGATTTGATAAATTGTTACATAAATGAATAGTTTCAAAAATGAAAATTAAAACATATTAAATATAAACGTATTTAAAAAATATAAAAGTTATGTAGTATTTGTTTGGAGCTCATTGGTAAAATAATAAGAATATTTTTTATTGATTTCGTCGAGTTATTCTCTTACTAAATAAAAAAGATAATAAAGAGAATAATTAAAAAAGAAAATCAAAGAAAAAAGAGATTTATTGCCGGCACAATAGTCTCTATTTTTGAATTATTGCAATATTCTGCGAAATATTTTTGCATTTTACATGTTTTATAACCGGTGAAATAAACATTTCTTCGAATGTTAAATGCAATAACCGTTTCTGTATTTATACAACATTTTAGTCTTTTCATAATTAAATTGTGTGCATAAAGTTTCTTTACTTAATAAGATAGGAATAAAAACTTGATCAGAGCCGTTACACACCTTCTTTGTGATGTCGCAGCTGAACTTTATCAACGTAGACGTTTCAAAAAGAATATTATTCACAAATATATCGCACTCGCAAGTATCTTACGATTCCGATTTTTTTAGAACAGTAGTGTTGCAATACTGCGGAAAATAGAGAAATAAGCTTTGTAAGTATCGACGACAATCGTCAATTTGAATCGCAGTGAAACAAGACACAAGATTCAATTTACGAATGAGTGTCACGCGATCTTATGATCCATATAACGATGATAATGATGCAAAACGAGAATCCCGTAGGGGAGCAAACCACGTGGCCGCGCAATTTTCGAAACTGAACACATATAATACAAAACAAACTCCCGTATCAGCAGCTCGCTGTACACTGTCGTGCGTCGCGCGTTCCATCATCGTGATCGTCCGAGCGTTATCCCCTCTTCGAATCCCATGCCACTCTCCATTCCACGCGCCAGCGCACACCTCTGATGTACACATGTGTATGTAGTATATAGAGTGAATTCGTAATCGCATGCTACGCTCGATTAAAGGGATATTACTCTAATAAAAAATTTCTATTTTTTATTATATTAAAAATTTATATGAATTTTTATTAATTATATATGATATTCAATTATTTATATTTTAAAAATATAAATGATTTATACATATATTTATAATATAATATAATGTAAACTTATATGTATTATTT